GCACGCAGCTCGACAGCCTCACCAGCGACCAGCTCCGCGCCCTCACCTCCGGCCAGATCCAGGCGCTGACCACCGCCCAGGTCAGCACGCTGAACACCGACGACCTGAACACGCTGGCATCGGACCAGTTCAACAAGCTCACCACGGGCCAGATCGCAGGCGCTCACGACCGGCCAGCTCAGCGCCCTGGGCACCGACAGCCTGAACGCGCTGGGCACCGGCCAGTTCGCCACGCTGTCCTCCGCCAGTTCGGCGCGCTGACGACCGACCAGCTCTCGCGCCTGGAAACCGCCGACCTGCGCGCCGTCACGACCGCGGCGCTGGCGGGCCTGTCGTCCGACCAGATCGCCTCGCTGGGCAGCGACGAGATCGCCGCGCTCACGACCGCCCAGGTGGCGGCGCTGTCGACCGTGCAGGTCAAGGGCCTGTCCGCCAACGACATGATCGCGCTGGGCACCGCCCAGGTCGCCGTGCTGAGCTCCGCCCAGGTGTCGGCCCTGTCGACCGACCAGCTCGCCGCCATCGAGGCGGCCGACATGCGCGCCCTGACCACCGCGGCGCTGCGCACGCTGACCAGCACCCAGCTCGACGCCCTGACCAGCGACCAGCTGCGCGCGCTCAGTTCCGGCCAGATCGCCGCGCTGACCACGGGCCAGGTCAGCACGCTGAACAGCGATGACCTGAACAGCCTCAGCTCCGACCAGTTCAACAAGCTGACCACCGGGCCAGATCCAGTCGCTGACGACGGGCCAGCTCAGCGCACTGACCACCGACAACCTCAACGCGCTGGGCACCGGCCAGTTCGCCACGCTGACCTCCACCAGTTCGGCGCGCTGACGTCCGACCAGCTCTCCCGCCTGGAAACCGCCGACCTGCGGGCTGTCAGCGACCGCCGCCATCCGCGGCCTGTCCTCGGACCAGATCCAGAGCCTCACCTCCGACACGGTCGGCGCGCTGACCACCGCCCAGATCTCCGCCCTGACGACGCTGCAGGTCAAGGGCCTGACGACCGGCGACATGGTCGCGCTGTCGGCCAGCCAGGTGGCGGCCCTCAGCTCGGCCCAGGTGTCCGGCCTCGTGAGCGACCAGCTCGCCGCCATCGAGACGGCAGACATGCGCTCGCTCACCACCGCCGCGCTGCGCGCGCTGTCCAGCACCCAGCTCGACGCGCCTGACCAGCGACCAGCTGCGCGCCCTCAGCTCCGGCCAGATCCTGGCGCTGACGACCGACCAGGTCCGCACGCTCAACACCGACGACCTCAACAGCCTCTCGTCGGACCAGTTCAACAAGCTGTCGACCGCCCAAGTCCAGGCGCTGACGACCGGCCAGCTCGGCAGCCTGACGACCGACAGCCTGAACGCGCTGGGCACCTCGCCAGTTCGCCGCGCTGTCTCCACCCAGTTCGGTGCGCTGACGACCGACCAGCTCTCCACCTGGAAACCGCCGACCTGCGCGCGGTCACGACCGGCGCGCTGCGCGGCCTGAGCTCCGACCAGATCCAGGCGCTGGCCTCCGACACGGTCGGCACGCTGTCCACCGCACAGATCGCGGCGCTGACGACCGGCCAGATGCAGGGCCTGACCACGGCCGACATCGGTCGCCCTCACGTCCACGCAGTTCGCCACGCTGAATGCGTCCCAGGTCGGCGCGCTGAACACCGACCAGCTCGCCGCCATCGAGGCCGGCGACATCCGCTCGCTGTCCACCGCGGCCGCTGCGCGGTCTGACCAGCACCCAGCTCGACGCGCTGACCAGCGACCAGCTGCGCGCGCTGACCTCCGGCCAGATCACCTCGCTGACGACCGACCAGGTCCGCACGCTGAACACGGACGACCTCAACAGCCTGTCGTCCGACCAGTTCAACAAGCTCACCACCGCCCAGGTGGCCGCGCTGACCACCGATCCAGCTCAGCAACCTGACGACCGACAGCCTCAACGCGCTGGGCACCGGCCAGTTCGCCACGCTGTCGTCCACCCAGTTCGGCGCGCTGACGACCGACCAGCTCTCGCGCCTGGAGACCGCCGACCTGCGCGCCGTCACGACCAACGCGCTGCGCGGCCTGAGCTCCGACCAGATCGGCAAGCTCAGCTCCGATGAAGTCGGCGCGCTGACGACGGGCCAGGTGAGCAGCCTCACGACCACGCAGCTGCAGGGCCTGACCACCGGCGACATGGTCGCCCTCACCTCCGCGCAGATCGGCGTGCTCGGCTCGGCTCAGGTGGGTGCGTTCAACACCGATCAGCTCGCCGCCATCGAGACCGGCGACATCCGCGTCATCGGCACCGCCGCCATGCGCGGCCTGACCAGCACCCAACTCGACGGCCTGACCAGCGACCAGCTGCGCGCACTCACCTCCGCCCAGATCCAGGCGCTGACGACCGCCCAGGTCAGCACGCTGAACACCGACGACCTGAACGCGCTGGCCTCCGACCAGTTCAACAAGCTCACCACCGGCCAGATCCAGGCGCTGACGACCGGCCAGCTCAGCGCCCTGGGCACCGACAGCCTCAACGCGCTGGGCACCGGCCAGTTCGCCACGCTGTCCTCCAGCCAGTTCGGTGCGCTGACCACCGACCAGCTCTCCAAGCTGGAGACGGCCGACCTGCGTGCCGTCACGACCAACGCGCTGCGCGGCCTGAGCTCCGACCAGATCCAGTCGCTGACGTCCGATGAGGTCGGCAGCCTCACCACCGCCCAGATCGGCGCGCTGACGACCGGCCAGCTCAAGGGCCTGGAGCCGAACGACATGGTCGCGTTGAGCTCGTCGCCAGGTGGCGGTGCTCGGCTCGGCCCAGGTGCAGGCGCTGTCCACCGACCAGCTCGCCGCCATCGAGGCCGCCGACATCAAGTCGATCACGACCGCCGCGCTGCGCGCGCTGTCCAGCGCCCAGCTCGACGGCCTGACCAGCGACCAGCTGCGCGCCCTCAGCTCCGTGCCAGATCCAGGCGCTGACGACCGACCAGGTCCGCACGCTGAACACCGACGACCTCAACGCGCTGGCGAGCGACCAGTTCAACAAGCTCACCACGTCGCCAGATCCAGGCGCTGACGACCGAACCAGCTCAGCCACCTGGCACCGACAGCCTGAACGCGCTGGGCACCGCGCCAGTTCGCGACGCTGACGCTCGGTGCCAGTTCGGTGCGCTGACGACCGACCAGCTGTCCAAGCTGGAGACGGCCGACCTGCGTGCCGTCACGACCAATGCGCTGCGCGGCCTGTCCTCCGACCAGATCCAGGCACTGACTTCCGACGAGGTCGGCAGCCTCACCACCGCGCAGATCACCACGCTGACCTTCAGTCAGGTCCAGGGCCTGACGACGGCCGACATGGTCGCGCTGACGAGTGCCCAGGTCGCGGTGCTGACGTCCAACCAGATCCCCGCGCTGTCGACCGATCAGCTCGCGGCCATCGAGGCGGTGGACATCAAGTCCATCACGACCGCAGCCCTGCGCGCGCTGTCCAGCGCCCAGATCGACGCGCTGACCAGCGACCAGCTGCGCGCGCTCACGAGCGCCCAGCTCAATGCACTGACGACGGCGCCACAGGTCGTCGGCATCACGACCGATGACCTGAACGTGCTGACGACGGAGCCAGATCGCCCGGCTGTCGACCACGCAGATCCAGGCGCTCACCACCGGCCAGCTCAGCAGCCTGACCACCGACAACCTCAACGCGATGGGCACCGCCCAGTTCGCCACGCTGTCGTCCACGCCAGTTCGGCGCGCTGACCACCGACCAGCTCTCGCAAGCTCGGAGACCGCCGACCTGCGCGCGGTCACGACCAGCGCGCTGCGCGGGCCTGACCTCCGCCCAGATCGCATCGCTCGCCTCCGACGCGGTCGGCGCACTGACGACGGCCCAGGTCAGCTCGCTGACGACCGGCCAGATCCCGGGCCTGACCACCGGCGACATGGTGGCGCTCACCAGCGGCCAGATCGCCGTGCTGGGCTCCGCCCAGGTCGGCGGGCTGTCGACCGATCCAGCTCGCGGCCATCGAGGCGCCCGACATCAAGTCCATCACGACCGCCGCGCTGCGCGCGCTGTCCAGCACCCAGCTCGATGCGCTGACCAGCGACCAGCTGCGCGCGCTGACCAGCAGCCAGATCGTCGCGCTGACGACCGGCCAGGTCAGCACGCTGAACACGGACGACCTGAACACGCTGACGTCCGACCAGTTCAACAAGCTCACCACCGGCCAGATCGCCTCGCTGACCACCGGCCAGCTCAGCAACCTCACCACCGACAACCTCAACGCGCTGGGCACCGGCCAGTTCGCCACGCTGACCTCGACCCAGTTCGCGGCGTTGACCACCGACCAGCTGTCGCGCCTGGAGACGGCCGACCTGCGCGCCGTCACGACCAACGCGCTGCGCGGCCTGAGCTCTGACCAGATCCAGTCCCTCACGTCCGACGAGGTCGGGTCGCTGTCCACGGCGCAAATCAGCGCACTGACCACCGGCCAGATCAAGGGCCTGGAGGCCGGCGACATGGTCGCCCTGTCCACCGGCCAGGTCGCCACGCTGTCCTCGGCTCAAGCGGCCGCCCTGTCGACCGACCAGCTCTCGGCCATCGAGGTCGGCGACATGCGCGCCATCACGACCGCCGCCCTGCGCGCGCTGTCCAGCACGCAGCTGGACGGCCTCACGAGCGACCAGCTCCGCGCGCTCAGCTCCGGCCAGATCCAGGCGCTGACCACCGCCCAGGTCAGCACCCTCAACACCGACGACCTCAACGCCCTGGCTTCCGACCAGGTCAACAAGCTCACCACCGGCCAGATCCAGTCGCTCACCACCGGCCAGCTCAGCGCGCTGAACACCGACAGCCTCAATGCTCTGGGCACCGGCCAGTTCGCCA